TAAAAGCCGGAGTTGGGAGTCACTACCCGCAGCTTCGCTGAGTGTACTCTTGAGAGACTTTCCCCCTGAAATCTTGAGTAGAGGTCCTAACGGATCTCTGGGTTGTGTTTCTGTAGTTTCAGGTGTGTGTGTGTGTGTGTGTGTTACGCTGCACTGTGCGACCTCCGAGTGCGCTCCGAGTGGACACTTGCAGTATTTCTGGGAGTGACAGTCGCCTGAGAATTCAAACTCCTCAATAGTATGTTAAATGTGACACTTTGTACCCTGTGTGTTCCTCTGTCCCTGTGGGTTCGACCTTTCTACCACTATATTGCAGTTTTAGCCTTTAGTGGATTATTACACTGCATCTCACACAGTATGTCTTCGATCAAACTGAATAGTTAGTTTCAGAATAGACAGGTAGAAGGATTTTATGGTTATACTCTTGTGCCCTTCATGATGCAGGTAGTTACCAAAAATAATTCACAGTAGACAGTGTAAGTAGAAAGATCAGACTAACAGATTTGTCGAACAAAAATACAAGACAGTTTTACGTGGTTCACCCGGGGGCTACTTCCACGAACACGAGAAGGTAATAGTATAATAAACTTGCGGGCAAAAATTAGATAAGTTTGGAGGTTTATATACCCCAGGTCTAACTGACAGGTTGACCCAAAAACCCGAGTTAGCCTCAACACTCCATCGACAGGAGTGGCAGAAGGTTATGTTAGGTTTTGCTATTGATATCTACTCTGAGTATGTCACTCGGAAGAAAATCTATGCAGACAACAGGCTATTTTGAATAAAGAATACTTTGAGCGAAATTTTTTTCTTTGAAATTTCAATTATATCAATTGCAAAGGTGACTAATTTGATATTGCATTCGTGTGTCTTTCACAATAATCAATCGTTTCCTTGGATGATAGCTATTATTTTTTAATCCAATAATGATGAAAACATTGCCATCACATATCAATGGAATTCTCGAAATCAAAAATTCCAAATTAATATCCCAATTCCTTACTATATTACAAAAATCTTTAGTTTATCAAGTTCAACTTGCAGTACTAATTATGTAATATGATGCGATCTGAAGTAAATCCAGAAATAGTTTATAATTTTTAATTTGACTCAATTATTTTACTCATCTATTGAAATTTTATGAAACTAATAATCAATGTAGTTTTAATAATTTACAACAAAAAATTAATTATGGTCAAAAAATCTCATACATATATGTAATTAGATGTGATCTCATTCAACTTTAAATAATATCATAAATTGTTAGCAAAAGTATTCAATGTTAAAATTTAGTTCAACTAAATTTTTTCCTACAAAATGAGTATTGTTTTATCTAAAATTTATTGACATGCTAAATCTTATTTTATGTTGTGATAAAAATTTGATGATATTGTTTCAATTCTCAATATTTCATTTCGTGCTGAGAAGTTTTATGAATAATCTATGATTTGTAATGTAATGCTCAGAAAGATGCATTTAATCCATCATAAACTAATTTTGTGAGTGCTTTTTTGAGATTTATTATTAAAAAATTATATTCTAATTTCATTTAAAAATCAAAAAAAATTTATGTTTCTCGTTTTCAAATGCCATTTGATGAAAACTTTGTAAATAGCAAATCGGACCTGATTTTGAATTTTCAATAGTTTGATTGAGATAAATCAATCTTCATTCACTACAATTATCTGAAGTCAATGCATAAAACCTTAAATTATATTCTATTTAAATTGTTTGTTTTGCTGCTATAAATTTTTCTTTGTTGTTATGTGTTATTTAAAATTTATTTAACTTGTTATTATGATGTTAGATCAACAAGAAAAATTAAAATTAGAGACATTTGAAGACTAATTAATCAAGCATATAGATCAACTTTTCAAATGATATATTTTGTGACTGATAACCTGAAAACGATGATTCTGAGCACGACTTTCATTTCATATAGGAGTATGATTCATCACTGTCCAATTATTGTATCCGTGATACTTTCTCGTGACTGAGAATTATCAATGAGATTAATATTTTTCAGAATTATGACAATAATTCTAGAAAATATTGATGGGTCATCGATATTTTTCTAAATGAGGTTTGAAACTAAAGTAGTTCTATCTTTTTTTCCATGAATTTGTCTACATAGTAATGATTATTTTGATGTAGAAGATGATGTTTAGTTTGTAAAGTACACTTTATTTCATGCTAAATTGAACTTGTGGTTTGAGTGTTGCAAACATGTATGTATTGGTGAAATTAAAACGAGTCATATATCGCCTTGGATATGGATGTTTTACTATGACATTTATTTGGAGTTGGAAAATAAAGTTAATTTTTTATTAGTTGGACTGAAGGTTTCACGTAGTGATTAGACATATCTAGTCAAGTTTAAGCCAAATTTTTTTGACAGCAATTTCAGATTAAAATTCTCTTCCAAATTGATATAATAACATCTTCATGTACAATGGCAGTGGGTGTGAAATCAAAGACATGACTTCTAAATTGATTTTCTTTCCAAGGATTTACATTCTTACATCCAAATTGTGTGAGGTAGTCATCAAAACCTTTCAATAATAAAGAAATATTCCTTCTTTTACGTATTTTCTTTGAAACACGAGAAAGGTTATTTTTTGGATTTTCCTACCAATTCTTATTAGATGTGAAATATTACATAAATGTACTTGTATCTTGTAGGCGTGAAGAAACAGATGAGTGAAAAAGATGAAGACTAGATTCAAATTAGTATGCTATAATTTTACATTGTTTTTTTTTCTTTTATAAAATTAACCCATTCTTCATGATTGAATAATCTTTTGTTTCATATTGTTACGTTACTATTGTCTCTAAGTTAGAATTATTGAAGTTCATTAATCAATAACTGTATCCTGTTCTTTATCTTTATGTATAAACTTTTATGTATCATAATCCGATTGAATTGATCCAATAAAGTAAATATAAATCCGAAGATATTGTAGCTAGATTGAATTAAAATTATCTTGATGTTGATTCAAAACTTGTTTATTCGAAGTAAATATAATAGAAAACATGTGCTAAAGGAAGCATGTTTTTTTAGATATAAAATCTCCATTTTATCCATGAAAATATTCCATTATGATAAATGCATAAACTGGAGTTAATTTTTAATAATAAATTGTGATGTTCTCATTACTTTTGATATTACTTAATATTTGTTATGATAGATATTGTAATGAACGTAGTGAGGAGTAAACTAATTGAAAGTATTGTATATACTAGTGTAGGATTAGTTCCATCTGCAAAAAAAACTGTAATTAAGATCCACAATATATTCAGGAAATTCAAGAATCTAGGGATAGAGTTTAAGATAAGGAATTTTTGAGCTTCAGATATTGAAATTGAGTGTTAAAAAGCGAGCCTTAGATGTAGAGTAGATGGAATAGAAACTTGGAAATTTTGAACCAAAAAATTAATTTGATATGATCATGAATTGATCTTTATAATATAATGAGAAAATTACTATTTTGGGAAGAAGTAAATATATCATTGTGCTAGATTTGTGTTAGTGTAACACAGTTGGAAATTTGCTTTGCTCAAAAATGTATTCTGATGCGATATCTATGTGCACAACATATTTATAATTTATTTATAACATATATTATTTAAAAAATAATATGGTTTAAAGTTACATTTCTAATTTTTTATTTTCTAATCGTAAAGCACGAAAAACACGGCGACACACTCAACTAAGTCATCAACACCAGATACAAAAAATAATGTGATTCATACTCAAAAGTTATGTCCACAGGTAAATAACATCGTGACATTATACTGAACATCTTGTCTAATAATACATAGACCTCGGGTATATGTATCCAACACCGGCTACCAATCTCAACTATGTTGAGGTTAACTCCGGTTAAGTAGTAACCTCAAGCTCTAGCTATTTATAGTTATGTGTGTCGCTGGCTTTGGGTATAAATATACCCCCAAAGCCAAGGCTTCTTGGAGGAGCTGAAGTATTGTGTATTCACTTGTCAGTAAACCTGCTCAGTGTTCCAGCCGTGGACGTAGCCCTCGAGGGTGAACCACGTTATATAAATGTCTTGTGTCTTCGTACTTGGCTTGAATGATTCTTGGTTTTACGTTAACAAACTACAATCATAACAGAGTTAACCTCAACAATCTTTCCCTTAACTTGTGTTAAGGAAACAAATACCTCTATACTTATATTATTACTCTGCGGAAAATTCTGGACGAAACCTAACAGAAGACTCCTCTTTACACGAGACTTAACTAGAACAAAACTATAACCATCACAATATAGAGTAATAATATAAAGAGTTAATTAAAAATCTACTAGCAAAGAGGGAACAAAAACCTTGTAAGATTCTACTTGTATCGGTGATATTTCTTCATCATTAATCACATAATGATCAAACTCCTCCACTACCATATTTGGGACTAGATATATTTCCCTTGTCAGTTAGGGAGTATAGGAACTCTCTCCCTCTTTTGATGACCTAGGCCTCATTGAAAGACACATCTTTACTTAAAGGAACCTACAGACTACCAAATCTCATATCCGATAACCCTACATTGGCCAAAGCACCTAATGTTGTACTTCTAAATTCAGATTCTCTGACTTGTCTAGTGGCCATCTTCACTCGGCAAAAAACTAGAGATAGTATTAGTTGTCATTCACAGGTAACATCAACTATCAACAGTCATCGACGCTTGTTATAGTTGACTATGGACCGTCACATTCACCGTCGAGCGCACGTCAACTGCATTTTTTCCACCTATCGTAGTTGTATCGCCTACCGTAGTTGCTCAGGCTCATATGATAACTCTCCGACCGCAGTGTAGGAGGTCTAAGGATCGACAAATTTGTCAATGCTTAGATCTCAAAGACTTGTTCACAATGTCACGTCTTAGAAAAATATTTTTCAAATTTTCCTATCTGATTTTGCTTCGCGTTATGTCTCTTCTTGCTACTCTCTATATATAAATTCCCTCACATCATACTTGTTGATTCATCTTCTTTCAAATTCAAACTCCATCTTTGTGATAAGTTGTACAGATGTTTCTCGCTCCACTTTCGCAAGTCCCATGGAACATGGATCAGCTAGAGCTTGCTCAACTATAGGACTATTTCTGGTATCAAAAGCGAGCATCAAGCAAATGGCTAGAAGGTATGCATTTGGGTTTTTTTGCGAGAATGGGAGTGATTGTTTCTTCCTCATACTTCTCAAATACCTTTTGGCCTTTTTATTACGAACTCCTTGTACTGCCTCCGGGTGAAGGACTGCCCAACATGTTTGTCATGAGATTGAGATGGTGAACAATGTTCTTTCTCGGAAAAAGTGGCCCTCTAGTCAGTACTTTTGCAAATTTACACCCTATGCTACTGTTATCAATTTGCGGGAGTATATTTGGTGAAAAGGTACCCACAAAGTTCAGGATCTCGATACCACCTGGTGGCTACATAATCCGTCTAGTATATGGTTGTTGGCGCGTCGTTGAAGGCGACGCAAGCAAAACTAAAATCACATATTTTTAGCTTGCAATCTGCATTGGCAAGAGCGTTCTTTGGCTTCAAGTCCCGATGATACACATTCAATCTTTGAATGTACTTCAAAGCACGAAGAAACTGATAGTGCGCTTGAGTCAAGTCATCATCGTTTTGATGACCTCATGAAGATTGGGCTCCATCAGTTCAAACACCACATAAATATTTTTGAACTCCCAGCAGGACGGAGGCATCATGATGTCCTTGAACTCAACAATGCCGGGATGACGCAGAAGCCGCAAGAGTTTGATCTCCCGCAAGATGCGAGTTGCATTTGACACATGCTCAAAAATGTCATTGATCTTCTTGATGGCAGCTTTTTTTCCAATATGTGTGTTAATCGTTGAGTAGACCACCTCATAGCTCCCTTTCCCTACTACTTTTTGGATTTGATACCGATTTGCTTCACCATACTCTGTGAAAAACTCGGTCTCCACCATGTTCTTGCCTGCTTGCTTTCCTTTGTGCTCTACGGCCATCCGTTCCTGTGCTACATAGCTAGCTCGCTCCTATGACTATGAGTATCAGATGCCGATGCTCGTCTTTATTGCTTGGCCTTGCCTACACTCTTGCTTCCTATGTCTTTCACTCATCAAGTAGACCAAGCAACAGATCACATATTCTGTCAAACATGTATGTAATGGCCATCTGCAGATGGCCATTACACAGGAAAGAGCTCTTTCTGTTTTTTTAAGTGTGTAGCAAAATGCTTCGATGTGACCTTTGTCATCGCAGCGCAATCTTGGCCACAAGACTCATACTGGACAAAAACGAGATAACAGAACGCGCGCTCGCATCAATAAAAGCTGATTTTTCCGACCTTGAAGAATTTTCTTTCACATTTTTCAAAAACAAAACTTGCTTTCCTGAAAAAATTGTAAATAACTTTAAACAAACAAACAGTGTTGTTCAGTCAAAACTTGAAAGTTTTGTTCTTTCCAATTTGATAGCCTTGTCGGTCGAATTTTGAGTATCACTTTGAGGTTAATGTGGTACCCCACTTTTGGCAATTTTGAGGAAATTAAAACATTTTTGGAAAACTGTACACTGGCAGCATTGTAAATGGCCTTCGGTACATCAAAACAGAGTGAATCCGGAAGATCGCGGGGATTCTCGAGGGATCTTGTAGAATCTGGGATTTGGGGTGCCGCAGTAAGGACAGGCACCACCCTCCCTGCGAGCTCTGCAGTTAGGATCTCTACGGCGCAAGGCGCAAAACCCGCCTTTGGAGGTTGCGTCCGCGGCTGTAGGGAAACCCCCGTAATTAGGTCAACCCTCGGGCGCCTTGACCAAGTTAGGGTCCCGTTGGAAAGAGCTCGACGCGCTGATTCTAACGAGCCCAAGAACGCCACGAACGGAGGAGAATTCCGGGAGTTATGAAGGTCGCAAGATACTCAGCTTTCCGCCTGTGCACAGGCGAAGAAAGTTTTGTCCTATGCGCGGACGAAGGAAGTTCGCCTGTGCACAGGTCGCCTGTGCACAGGCCACCTCCACACGTGCCGCCTGTGCACAGGCGCTTCGGCGTCGGCGGGAAATCCGCCTTGGGCCCTAGAAATGCGCCTTGTGAGGTAGAAAGTGTACGGCGCCTTCTGCGCCAGGTCATCGCCGCGGACGGCCAGGACAACGCCGCGGACGGACAGGTCAGCGCCGCGGACGGACAGCTCAGCGCCGCGGATGGACGGTCGGATGGATCTGAAATTTTGTGGGGCCGTTGATCTCGGCCGGCCACGCATGCCTGCAAATTTTCAGCCTCAGATCTTGGATGGTAAGGCGCTGGCGGCTCTGTACAGTAGGCTTAGGATTCAGATTATGAGTGTCGGAAGTTACTGATGGGGGGGGCCTTCGGCGGTAGAGCGACTTTGGCGGTACGCCTTCGGCGGAAGAACCGCCGGAAGATGCGCCTTGGGCGGTAGACGCCTTCGGTCAACGCCTTCGGCGATACGGGAGAGTGCATTCGGCGGAAGAGTGAAACCCTCATAACTTTCTCAATGCGCAACGCCTCGACTTGGTTAGGGTCTCGTTGGAAAGAGCTCGACGCGCTGATTCTAACGAGCCCAAGAACGCCACGAACGGAGGAGAATTCCGGGAGTTATGAAGGTCGCAAGATACTCAGCTTTCCGCCTGTGCACAGGCGAAGAAAGTTTTGTCCTATGCGCGGACGAAGGAAGTTCGCCTGTGCACAGGCGCTTCGGCGTCGGCGGGAAATCCGCCTTGGGCCCTAGAAATGCGCCTTGTGAGGTAGAAAGTGTACGGCGCCTTCTGCGCCAGGTCATCGCCGCGGACGGCCAGGTCAGCGCAGCGGACGGACAGCTCAGCGCCGCGGACGGCCAGGTCAGCGCCGCGGATGGACGGTCGGATGGATCTGAAATTTTGTGGGGCCGTTGATCTCGGCCGGCCACGCATGCCTGCAAATTTTCAGCCTCAGATCTTGGATGGTAAGGCGCTGGCGGCTCTGTACAGTAGGCTTAGGATTCAGATTTAGGGTTAGGGTTAGATTTAGGTTGTAAGTTAGAGGGGAAGGCAGCCGCCGACTCCTCAGGTGTAGGATCTGTTGCGGTTCGCACCATGGTAGTGCAGTGTAGTGTTAGGTAGGACTTAGAAGGTATAAAATAGTTCCAGGCGTTTTGCCTGGGGTTCTTTCCCATCAGAAGTGCAGATCAGGAACCCATTTCCTTTGCGTGTTTGTGTCCTTGAGTTCTGTCACCACGCACGAGGAGTTACAACTTAGCGTTCCGGAGTTAGGTTTTGGTTGTAAAGGTTTAAGTTAGGTTTTGGTTGTAAAAGCCGGAGTTGGAAGTCACTGCCCGCAGCTTTGCCGAGTGTGCTCGCAAGAGACTTTCCCCCTGAAATCTTGAAGTAGAGGTCCTAACGGATCTCTGGGTTGTATTTCTGTAGTTTCAGGTGTGTGTGTGTGTGTGTGTTACGCTGCACTGTGCGACCTCCGAGTGCGCTCCGAGTGGACACTTGCAGTATTTCTGGGAGTGACAGTTGCCTGAGAATTCAAACTCCTCAATAGTCTGTTAAAACGTGACACTTTGTACCCTGTGTGTTCCTCTGTCCCTGTGGGTTCGACCTTTCTACCACTATATTGCAGTTTTAGCCTTTAGTGGGTTATTACAGTTAACTTCCGTCACATATTGTCGTTGTTAGAAAATCATCAAAAACGATTTGTCACTGCTTCTCCGCCTTCACAAGCTCTATCAAAAAACTCTGAAGATTTCACCCCGACCCGACTTCCACGAGCTCAAACTCGTGAGAGAAAACTTAGAGATTAATGAGAAACATAAAACAGTTAGAAAAATATTAAGTTTAAAAAAACGCTTAGATCATCTCGAACTCTTGATCTTCAAATATTTTTCACCTTCAAAAACAAAAACAAATGTTAGAACTCTAACAGCACTGTCAAATTTTTGTCATGATCAAATACTATAACACTATCATTGTCAAAAACACTCATTAGTGACAAAAAAGTTATCAACAATAAAAAGAACCTGTCATCAAAAAAAATTCACGCTATGATACAGACTTCAAACCGGAACCTGCTCTGATAGCAATTGTAAATGTAAAACACAAGAATCACAGCGACACACTCAACCAAGCCATCAACATGGGAGACAAGAAATAACGTGGTTCACCTTTAAGGTCTACGTTCACGGGGGAATAACATCATGACATTAAACTCAACATTCCGTTTGGTAATACACTGTACTAGGTATATGTATCCAACACTAGTGACCAATCTCAGCTATAAGTAGCTAAACATGAGGTTATTCATTAACCTAAGTTAACTTCAACATATTTAAGTTAATTTAAAATGCAAAATTATATTTTATGAAATTAGTTATCTTATCTCAATCAAGAGAAAAAAAATTTGTTCTTAAATATATTTATGTCACATTGTTGAACCTTTTTGAATTTTTTTTATTCAAGTAAGAAATGATAAATTACTAAAAATATAATATTATTCATATATTAATACTAGAAAGTTTATTGAAGAAGCAATAAATTTCTTTTGAATTTTTTCATACAGTATAAATTCATTTTTTTGAAAAGAATTCTTTATACTTTTTGATTATCAATATCAATATTTTATATCTTAAAATAATCTTAATAAATACGCCTAAAACTGAGTTATAACAATGTAATTTTTTTGGTGATATCGATTTTTGATCTAAATCAATGAGATTTACTTAAAGCCATATGACAAATTAGAGAAGTTCGGAATTTTGATATAGTCTAAGGGAGTTTTTTTAGAAATGTTAAGGAAAAAAACATGTTAATGAACACCATTTGATGTTTTCATAGTATTTCAAAATCATTGCGACACATAAGTATTGTCATTTGAAAGATTATGAAAATTTTCGATATGATTTGAAATTTTTTTTTGGAGGTTTATCCATCGTCAAATGTTTTTTTAGAATCTACTTCAATTTTTTGGAAAAATTAAGCTTGAAAAATAAATTCAATGAAAAACATCTTAATTTTACCCATTGACTATGTTTTTGCATTAGGTTATTCTAAAAAGTAATAAGATCATCTTATTTTTTAATTATGATTTATCTATGATAATCTTATATATATATATTTAATTTTATATTTTAGACTATTAAATGGTAAATGGTAAATGGTAATAGATCAAGCCCGGGGGACCCAAAGGGTCAAAAGGCTGAAAAACACAATACAAGCGACAGCCACAAACAAAGGAAAAGACCCCAAAGGCCAAACCTTAGCTAGTGCCAAGAGCACTAGAACGATAACTAATAATGTCCCTAATATAACAACCTAAATCAAAAGGAACTAACTGTAACAAAGAATAAAAATTCTCTACATCTATATTATGAGTCACTATAATCTCTGCATATCTAGTACAAGTATCTATTTAGTGCATATCCGACTTTGGAAATCCAAAGACTTGTCAACTGATCTCATCCTCGCTTGCTTACAATCCAAGTCAAACCATCCATTGCAAGGAAGTCCTCTAGCTCTTCGATCCTTGTGCCGCAAAAAGAACTTAGAAGCAGTGTCTTTGAGCAACTCTATTAATTGCTCACTCGCTGTATGTGGATCAAGGCTCCATGAAGTGTGAGTCAAAAGGTTTTGAAAATGTAACATGTACTGCTCTTTCTTACTAGGATCTAAACGAAACTTCGGAGAAGCTAAAACAGAACGGCATGAAGAGAGAGGGATTGTTTTTGATAACAAGAGAGTAAATAAGAGAGGTGCATGATCTGACTCTGGCTGAGGTTCTAGAATATCAAATTTCGAAATAACAGAGCTATGAGTGGCTGAGGATAGAAGATAATCAATGGTGCTAACACCTGTAGGAGAAAAGCACGTATTGGAAAGGGAGTTGGGAAAGAGAGAGATACCGTTGAGAACTTTCAAATTACATGTGGCTCCAAAGGTTACAAAGTGTTCTGTCAAAGGATTTGTACAAATA